GACCCAGGGTGGTTTTGGGGGAAAACAAAATGTCGTCAGCAGGCAATGCTGGGATCAGGGAGAATCTCTTCCCTGGGAAGCAAGCCCTGGCTAATGGCCCAGATGGACTGTCTGACCTTCCTGACCCCACCGATATCCACCGGCACGGACTAGTGCTGGATGTTCCCAACCTGATGGGCTATTCATTTCACTGACGGTGCTGCACTCCGCAGGTCTTCAGGTTCATCAATGAGACCAAAGTTCCAGGAAAGGGACTTCTTGGCACAGAAATGACAAGGGCAAGCTCTTGAAGCCACTGCTTGGGCTCACATCCTGGCTCTACCACTTAGCGGTGATGTGACCTTCAACAAGCCACTTCCCCTCTTGGGGCCTCAGTCTCTCCATCTGCTCTTGTCTGACACCCCTCCCCTCTTCTTCCCATCATCTGTCCCTTTGTCCTGCCTTCCCAGGTCATGGCCTGTCCCCTACAGACCCTCTCTTCAGGAAGGAGGAGCCTCTTAAGGCTCCACAGAGTTCCCAGGCCTTGTCCAAACCACAGGGCTCCCCTGGGACTGGCTGCTCAGGGTGGGCCCCAGAATTCTGGGGAATGTGCTGGGGAATGGGAAGGAGAGATCGAGGGCCAAAGGAGCCTCAGGTCCTTCCTGCCACGGGAGGGCCGCTGCCCTGCTTAGGTGGGGCTGTGCGCACCTGGAGGTGGGACTGTGAGAGACACGACGTGTCTCCCATCTGTGTGGACTCACCCACGTGTCTGTGTATACCCCAGTCAGTGGTCCGTGACCATGTGACCGCACAGCCCATCGGTGGGGGATGGTCCGTGTGGTTCCGTGGCAGAAGTGAACAGCCAAGGCCATTTCAGTAATGATCAAAAGCAGCCATAGCTGCTGTTTCCTGAGCAGGTGCCAGGCACGCGCCCAGCACTCGACACCACTGTGGCATCTTGTCTGCAGAGCCCCCCCCCCCAGGGAGGTGTGGTACCTGGCACTTTTCAAAGAGAGCTACCACATATTCTCCATGCCACCTGCTCTTCTTATAATGTGGTACTGACACTCTTCCGTAGCCTGAGGAGGTTTATGTGCCCTCCCCCTCGCAACTGGGTGACCTCTGTGACTGCCTCAATGAACGGAAGACAGCAAAAAGGATACTGTGTGACGTCCAAAGCTCGCCCATAAAAATGCCATGTACTTCCACCTTGCTCTCTTGGGTCCCTTGTTCCTGGAACCAGGCTGCTACATAGAGTGGAGGCCCAGGTCACACGCAGAGGCCACGTGTAGGATATTCCAGCTGACCGCCCAGATAAGGCCCACCCAGATGGCAGCACGGATTGCCAGATCTACAAGTGAGGAAGCCTTCAAGGGGATTCCAGCCCTGTCACTATCTGGCTGCAACTGCATGAAAGACTGAGTGAGAACTACCTAGCTGGGGAAACTGAGGCTCAGAGAGGTAACGAAGCCAGACGAAGCCAGGCAGTGGCAGAACTGAGCTAAGAACCCAGGTCCTGAATGTCCTAAAGGGAGAAGGGAAGCATGGGGATGATTTCTGCACAGACCTAGATTTCATCTCTTGGCCCAGAGGAGTCCAGCTTGGACCCCCACCTCAGCCAGCGCTAGAAAAATCTCACCTTCTAGAAACGGACCCTGCTGGTTGACAGGAGGTTCAAGGTGGCAGCTCTCACTCTCTGTGCTGGGGGCTCAGGCCCAATTACTGGCCGATGAACCGTGCTGGCCACCGCTCAACCCAGAAGAAACGCCTCCACCCACTGCACTCCTGACCCCCTCCTGGACCTCCGGGAGGGACGTGCAATCTCAGACTCTTGGTGGGGTCTGACTTTTACTACCAGCTTATGTCCAGTGAGGTGCTGTTTCTCATGTATTATCTCATTTAATCCTCATCAATCCTCTAAGTTGTGTATAACTATTAGCTCCATTTCACAAATGACTAAACAAAGGCTCCAAGAACTAAAGCAATGTGCCTGAGGTCAAGAAGTTGGACGTGGCAAAACAGACTTGGCAAAGCTGGGATTTGACCCCAAGTAATCAGCATACCAGAGAGGCAAGTGACTTCCCCAGGGTCACAGAGCACATAAATCAATCAAGCCAAACCCAGGACACCTTGAAATAGGCGCTGTATTCTCTTCCTTGGATGACTGGCCATAATAGGAGAGATGGAAACAGGAAGGTCTCTGTGTCCACAGCACCGCCCCCCCAAGGTCCGTAAAGGCAGAGACCAGGACTATGTTCATAGCTGTGTCCCTGACCTACACTAGGTACACAATACATATGTGTCAAATGACTGACTTGCCCCGTAACTTAGCGGAGTCACTCCCCACTCTGGGATTGTTTCCTCCTCTATAGACAAATGGGGAAGGAAGGAGGGTTCAGGTGGACTCTAAATTCCTCACCATGCTCCCTGAAGGAGGTGTGTAAGTGAAGTCACGCCTGAGACAGCCAATGGACAGCCTGACCATCCTCCTAGATTTCAGGCACCAGGATCCAGCCTTCTGGCTTTAGTGAGAAAGCTGGGGCTCCAGAACTGCACTTCCAGCAGACAGCCACAGATGGCAGCAGAGGCCTGCATGGCAGAGGCTGCGGTGCATGTGGTTTGAATTTAACTGGTCTTTTTTCATGTGGGTTTTTTCCCTTTCTTCTTCTCTGCCCTCCCCCATCCCCGCTTAATTTCAAGAAGATACAGCTGGACCTTCCAGCTTGGGAAGGAAGAGTTTCTTAACATCAAGGATAATGGCCGGAAGCAGGAGGAAGGGGGTAGGGGGTAGGGGGATAGACAGACCCCAACAGATGTGAAAAACACCTCCTGACCAGCTAATAAGCTCTGAATTTCCTCATCTCCAGGGCCCAAGAGGCTGGGAACATCATCTGTACTTTTCAGGCAGAGAAACTGAAACCCAGATCTTCTGGGTCCCACATCTGAGTCTGAGGGGGCAGGTTGGCCCACCCTTGGAGGCCAGGGGTGGGGGGCAAGGACACCACTGGGAATCTGATGAAGCCTTACAGTAGGATTTGTTAAAATCTGGCAACCGTAGCTCCCAGGAAATGCACCTACCCAACCCTGTGCACACATCTGCCCACAATAGTGGTCTGGCCTGTGGTCCCAGTCCTAGCTCAGAACCTGTGTATGAGGTCACCTCCCAGAGCCCTCCCCTCCCAACTCCAGAAACTGTCTCATTCAAAATGTCTAAACCTTGCTCAGCATAGAACACTGCATAGAGATTTGGGCCCAGATGGTCTGGGCCCAGCACCGCCACCTTCTAGCTGTTGCAAACATCCCTTCCCTTCGGTCTCGGTTTCCCCACTTGGAAAATGAGGGTGTACACCTGCTGCACAGTAAATGCTCTGCAAAGGAGGGCTCCCTTCCCTCGCCTCCACCCAGTTCTCCAGCATGGAGGGAGGCTGGGGTGAGGGATCGTGGGAAAGGAAGTTATCCAGTGTCTGTTTCCAGACCCTCCTGCTCCCTCCCTCTCTCGGACCCAGGCACAAGCTGGGGGGAGAAGGAGGGGTGGGCTCCATTTGTGTGTGCCTTCGGGGTGGGATGGGGTGTCCTGCCTCTAGAGCGGAAGATGACTCACTGGGCTGTGGGCCAGGCACCCTGGGAAAGGCCAGGCCAGCCTCAGGCCAGAGCCCCAGGGAGCTGAGGGGCAGGGAGGAGGGAGCAGGGCCTGCCTGAGCGGTAGATATAGCCTAGCTGTATCTCAAAGCCTAGCAGACAAAAGAGGCAATCTTCCCCACTTCCAATGGTGCCAGAAATTATACTCAAACCACCAAAGGCCGAAGGAAGCTTGAGGTGTTATCAGCTCCTACCAACCTACTAATCTGACCTCTGTTCTAGGTGTGGATGCTGCTGGAACAAGGCAGAGGTGATCCCTCCCCTTTGGAGCTTGCAGACTTCAGTAACCATGTCTAGAATAGTCTGGCCCACAGTAAGTGCCCAGTACATATTTGTGAATCAGTGAATGAATGAAAGTTTCAGTGTTATGAATGTGCACAGCAAGCTTAGAATGCCCATGTTCAAGCCTTCCTTATAAAGGAGGGAGCCAGAGAAAGGTCCATTCCTTCTCATTTTACGGATAGGCACTGAGGCTCAGAGAGGAAAGTGTCTCGAGACCCCCAGGGCAGCAGGCAGTCAGCTGAGGCTAGAACTGGGCCCTTGGGCCTTATCCACTAAATCTTGTCCAAAGGGGCCCAAGCTGCTCGGAGGCATTGTGGCCCCCACCTCCCCTACCCCTACCCTATTCCAAGACCCAGGGGACACCCCAGGAGAGGAGCAAGTTCAATCCATCAGTAAGTCTCTCTGGCTCTAAAGTAAGCCCTGGGTGCCCTGGCCCAACCCAGAGCCCAGGGAAGCCCCTCCCATCACATCAGACAAGCCTGGGGGGGTCAAGCTGCCCAGGGACAGGGAACAGGCCCTGCTCCACAATCCCTCCACCCCAGCCTCCAGGGGGCTGTCACTGGGCCTGGGTAGAAATAGTCTCCAGCTTGGGCTGACCAGAGGCAGCCTCAACTTCCAAGCCTTGCTGCTCTGGATCAACGACTAGTGACCAGTCCTAGTGGGCAGCCACAATCACCTCTGTGTGCGCGCACACGCGTGCTGCAAGATTCACCGCTGAAGGCCAGCCTGACACAGGCCTAGGCTCCACTGTCCCAAAGCCCCAGGACCAGGACTACCACTTCCAGGAAGCTGTCCTGATAGCCCAGATCTGATGACTCCCCTCCTGCTCTGAGCACCTTAGGCTTCTGGAGTTGCATCCATGCTCTCCTGATACTGACAATAAGTGGCACCATCTGGCACTTCACAGTTTACAAAATGTTTGTAGAGCCTGATCTCATCAGATCCTCATAGCAACTCAGGGGGGAAACCAAGGCTCAGTGAGGGGTCAGAACTTGCTCCGGTTCTCAAGATGAAGGTGGTGAAGCTGAGGCTCAAATCCTCCCCTCTGTCAGTGACCTGCAGGGCCTGAGGAAGGGAAGAGAGCAATGGCATACAAATAGGAATTAATCTCTCTCAAGGGGTTCCTAAGTGCTGCTTACAGGTGTTTATTTTAACCTGGAGACAGGCCTCCTGGGTGGGCCCTATTATTACCCTGTTTTACACAAGAGGAGATGGGCGCACAGAAGTGAAGGACTGGGCTCAAGGTCTCATGGTGACAGGATCTGTGCCCACAGGGTACCCCGGGGTCAGGATTTCTCTATCCACATCTATTCCACTGTGCAGGAGAGGGGGTGCCTTCCAGTCCAGGGGAAAGCAGCAGCACAGGAGGACGAGGACACTCACACTGCCTTCTTCACAACAGAGGGAACTGACCACGAAGCTGCGGGAATCATGCACTTAGGGAGCTCTTTAAAGCGCCATGGAGAAATGTTCAGTGTGATGTTCACTGAAAGAAGCAAGAAGCATACACACCGCACCATCACCACATCATGAAATATACATACATATATATTATATATATATTATACACACATACATATGTGCATATATGCAAGGAGAAAAGCCTGGAAGCAAATACACCACACACCTGAAAGTTAACAGTGGGGGGGAGCCCTGGAAAAAGGAGGGCAAAGCCAGAGACCACATTGCACCGACGGCTGCCCCAACCTCCAGGAGGCCCATATCAGTGCCAGTTTCATCTATGTAATAGAGGATATAAAGGGCTTACTTAGCATCATGCCTGGAACAGAGATCTCCATAAACACTGGCTCGTTATCAACAACCAGAGAACCTTAGAAGGCAGGTGATCTCAGCGGCACCTGGGGGCGCAGTTGGTTGGGTGTCCAACTCCTGGTTTTGGCTCAGGTCATGATCTCAGGGTCAAGCCCCGGGCCGGGCTCCCTGCTCTGCTGGGAGTCTGCTTGGGATTCTTTCTCCCTTGCTCTCTGCCCCCACCCCTCCACCCCAGTCTGCTTGGGATTCTCTCTCCCCCTCTCTGCCCCCACCCCTCCCACACACTCTCTCTTGCTCTCTCGCTCTAAAAAAATAAATAGGTAGGTCTTAAAAAAAAAAGAAGGCAGGTCATCTCAGAGGTTGAGTGCACCAACCCCCTCGCAGGGTAGGCATCCCCTGGCAGTCCTTGTTTGCATAACCCCAGGGCCAAGGAGCTCACCCCCTCCAAGGCTACCATGGTAACTCCTTCCAGGATGGGGCATGTCTGCTTGGAAGAAAGCCCAAGATAGGATGGGCCCCTCAGTCTCTAGGCAGCCTTACCATTGGATGGTGGTGACCTAGGAAGGATCTTCCATCTCCCATTCCATTCCAAATCCTCAGCCTTAGACCCTTTTATGGGGCGATTCTCCAGGTGTAAGGTTCAAAGAGCCTTTCTGGGTGGCTCTCTTGTCCCCAGCCCAGGTGACCGCCTCTGTCCCTCCCACTGTGTGTGGGATAACAGAGTAGCATTTGCTGGCAGCACTTTGTGCCTTTTCCATTTTCTCCTTTGGAAAACAAATGAGAAACCAGCTGGGTCTGATCTCCTCCCTACCCCACCCCCAACCCCTCTAGTCCTCTAGGGGCGGGAGGCCCTCTCTGCCTCCTCCCTGGACAACAGCCTGGTGGAGAACCCCGAGAGGAGGGGCCAGCTCAGAGAGGAGGGGCCCTGTGAGCTGGCTGTTGCCACGGCAATGGCAGCCCTGGAATTTGACCACTGGGGCCCAGGAGTGGGGGTGGGGAGCTGGTACAGGCCATGTGGGGGCAGGGAGGAAGGTCCAGAGGCCGAGGAAAGCCAAGAAGAGGAAAGGCAGGGCAGGGGTCAGGGTCCCCTCCGTGGCCTCAGTTTCCCCATCTGTAAAGGGGGAAGAGGCAAGGACCTCAAGCTCTTCCCCCCCAGCTCTAATCCAAACTGGAATCTGGTGAGGGCCAGGGATGGCAGAAGCATGTGAGGCAAGTCCAGTTGCCCCTTTTGATGGATAGTGACCCCAGTGGACGGGGACTGGCCTCAGGTCACACAGCAAGTCCAGGACAGTACCAGGACTAGACCCTGGGAGGGTGGTCTGTCCCTATTTCTCCACTGGAGAAGACAAGGATGCCTGCTTCATGATGGGGGGAAGAAGACCTCTAGGAATGGCTATGGTTGGGCTGGGCTGGGTCCACAGTCCTCAGACAACTGACAATGTGCCTGCCCTAGCGACCCTCAGCATTACTGGATCCAGAGGGCTGGCAGAGGGCCTGCCCCCCACCCCTGCCTGCAGTGCCAAGCTGCTGTGGGTATTTTTAAAAATGGGTGCCCGTCCCTCTCTGCCTTCCTGCCTACCCACTCCAAGAACACAGTGAATTCTGTTGCTAGCCCCCTAACCCTCCACTTCAGCCCAGCCTGAATGGGTGCTGGATCCATGGCCATCCTCTGTGTCCCTGCCTTCAGGACGGCCCCCTCTTGCTGGCCATCACCTCCTTCACAGTCAGCCCTGGGTTCAGGGTGATATCCAGGGCCCCTTCAGCTATACTCTAGGTATACTTTAGGCCCAGAGAAGGGATGGGACTTGTCCAATGTCACACAGCAAAGATGAGTATCTGGGAATGCTATGCCCCCAGCCTAGGCCCCATTTCCAACTGCCTGTCACATTATATTGGTGTTGCCCCAAGCCCTTCTTACCACTCTGCCATTGACCTTCAGCAGCGCTAGCCTCTGGCCTTCATACCCACCCCAAAAAGATACTCTAGTTCTGGGAAAAAATAGAGTGGGAGCCATAACTCACACTACACACCAGGATAAATTCCAAATGGGTCAAAGATTTAAATGTAAAATAAAACAAGAAAACACAAAACACCAGAGGAAAACATGGGGAAACTGCTTTATAACCTTGGAGTGGGAAAGGCCTTTCTAACCGTGACTCCAAATACAGAAGCCATAAAATAAAAGCTTGATAAATTAGACCACATAAAAACAAAACCTTCTGCATGGCAAAAATATACCATAAACAAAGTCAAAAATCGAGTGACAGATCCAGAAAAAATACCTACAACTCATAACCCAGACAATAATAAACTCCTTAATATTATAAAGGTTCCTAGAAATTGATAAAAACAAAAGGTCAACAATCCAACAGAAAAAAAGGGCAAAGGATATGAACAGTTCATTGAAAAGAGAATCCAAATGTCTCTTGGACATGTGGAAAGACGCTCAGCCTTACTCATTGCAAGACAAATGCAAATTAAAATACACTGAGATACCATTTCACCTCTCAGATAGGGAAAATAGCGCAGGTCCAACTTGGCGATGCTGGGGGACACAGGCTCCTTACCATGGTGCTGGACCCCTCTGTAGAGCATGAAAATCGGAATCACATATATGGTGTGTCCCAGCAATTCGACTCCTAAGAAATTGCTCTAAACACACACCAGCCCCCGTACAAAATAACCTATGAACAAGCTTGTTCGCCACAGCACTATTTGTAACAGCCAAAGACTGAAAATAACCTAAACATCCTTTAATGTGTGGTTCAGTACAGATCTGGGAGTCAGTGCGATGGGACACCACACAGTGCAAGAAAGAATATGAAAGCTCTTAACGCACTGATAAGGGAAGATCTGGGCCAAGATCTCACTAAGTGGACAGCAGTGTGCCTCTGTGTGTGGAAAGCAGAGGAAAGACAGTGAATTTGCTGGCATTTGCCTACAGAAGGATTCACAAGAATTAATAACCGGGTATCCTGGGTGGGGCAGGGTAGGTACTAGACAGCTGGTGGGAAGGAGGCTTTTTACCCTTTTTGATTTTTCTTTTTTTCCTTTATTTCTCTTTTAAGATCTTATCCATTTGTTTCAGGGAGAGAGTGCGCAGGAGAGCAGGGGAGGGGCAGAGGTAGAGGGAGGGAGAGGGAGGGAGAGAATCTCTAGCAGACTCCCTGCTGAGTGCAGAGCCTGATTCGGGGCTCTATCCCAGGACCCTGAGATCATGACCTGAGCTGAAACCAAGAGTCAGACTCTCAACTGACTGTCCCACCCAGGCGCTCCCCCTTTTTGATTTTTCTTAACCACATGAGTATATTACACATTAAAAATATTAAATACATTGAATTTTTAAAGACTTCATCTCACCGCCTGGCATCTGCTGCCTGCTTCAGGCTCCCGTGTCAGCCTTTGCAACCCTCCTCATCTTCCTTCTCATCCATCATAGGCTTAGCTTCAGTCTCTTCCTCACAAACTGTCCCTTCTGTACACTGACTTTCTGGGATCCCCGCACCCCCAGCCTCTGGGCATCTCCACAGCACCCCCCGATCACCCCTGCACACTGCCCTGTGTTCCCAGCCCACGCACAGGACCAAGTCCCAAGGCGGCTCCTGGTAAATGAAAACCAGATGAAAGTAGGAGGGGGTTGCTCTGGGACCCTGAGTTTGGAGCCTTTGTCTTTGCTTTCTCCCTTCAGTTTCCCACTCGGTCTTCTCTTGCACAATTCCAGTGTCATCTGTGTTGTCTTCCAGGACACTTTCCCAGCCCACCCTGCAGCCAGAGAGGAAGCTCCTAGCCCTTTCTGCAGAGAACTGTCAAATTCCTCCTTTACAACCCCCACGCCTCCTCAAGTCAGGCAACCTCAGAGCTAGACTTCGACCCAGCCAAAGCTTGGAGTTGAGTCCCCAGCCTAGATGAAGGACCTGGGGCTGGAACTTGCTGGGCAACGGTGGCAATCCTGCCTCTCTCTGGGCCACGGATACCGAGTGTAAAGTGAGGTCAGCCGCAGGCAACTTCATAGCAAGGTGGGAATTTCCACCAGTGAGAATCCAGCAGAGCCCCAAGCCCACGGAACCCCACCCCACCTCTGCAAAGCCCCTTAGCTCTTTTCCTATGGCAGCTGCCTGGGAGGATGTTTGAGCATCCCTCGGGGACTCAGCATATCCCTCTCCCTCAAAGATGACTCTAAGCTATTCCTGGGGACCCCAGCCACTTCTCCCCATCCCTGGGACCGCTCCTCAGCCAGGCCAGGTCACTACCCTCCTCTTCCAACTTTATGATTTCCCACTGATCCCCTGTGGTCAGTGGTCCAGCCCAGCCACCACAGGCATTATCATATTTAATTTTCACAAAAACCCTATAATAAGTGTCACCATCATCATCATCATCATCATCATCCCCATTTTACAGGTGCATAAGCTGAGCCACAGAGGGATTAAGTACTTGCTCCTGGTCATACAGCTAAGAGGAAGAGCAGGATTTGGACCTAAGCCATCTGGCTCCAATCTATTCTAACCATTACACCAACACAGCTGGACGTAGGATCAAACGTGAGCACTCAGGCTGCCCCTGACACTCCGGGTGACCCGGCTCTTGCTGACACACCAGCATCAGGCCAAATTTGCCTGCCTCCCCACCTGTGTCACACTGTGGCTGCATGATGCTCTGGCCATAGTGGTTCCTCCAGCCCTGCGAGCTCCTTCCTCCCTCCAAGGGCCTGTA